TGACAGTAATTCCTGTAAATTACAGAAAGGAGGTCAAAGGACCTACATCTAAGTACATAATGATGAAATTTCAGGACACTAAGGACACAAAGAAAATCCTGAATGTTTCCAGAGTGAAAAACAAAAAAGATCCAGGATGGAATGAGAATAAGGTTGATACCAACCTTCTCATTTGCAACTTTGTAAGCAAGACAACAGAATGCTGTCTTCAAAGTTCTCTGGTTAAATACTTGTGAATTTAGGATTCTGTACCCAACCAAACTATCAAACAAATGTTGAGGGCATCATAAAGACATTTTAAGACACAAATGGACTAAAAAAGTTTACAACTCACAATGTTTCCCAACAGGGTACTATTGGCATTTTGGGTGGAAGGGGTGTAGTATAGCCTCTGGTTGGGAACTCAGTGGTGTAGACGATAGAGTCCAAAAAGGAGCAAGTGAATCCAGGAAGAGAACATGGGATGTAAGAAGCACAGGTGATCAAGGAAACCATCGAAGTTTATTTTTAAGTCTAAATAAATACCTTTCCATATAATAACTAAAATCTGAGATGATAACGTGGGATGAAGAGGCTTAAAGGTTGCAAAGGAAAAAGAAGAGAGAAGTAAAAGCATGCTAAGATTCCCATTCTATTTAGTAGGAAAATTTATACAGATATTAATGAACTCTAGATGTTGGTTAAGAATATGCTTAACTAGATGTGTCAAAAATATAAATATAATAGGAACAGAATATATATGTTCCAAGCCATTAGAAGACAAATTAATTGAGAACAAATAAAATGCCATCAACTAACCAAAAAGCAGGGATAAAAAGAAACATGAAAACAGTGTATCCAATAGAAAATGCATGGTAAATTGGTAGAAGTGTGTAAATACATCAATAGTAATAATAAATGTGAATAAATTCAATTCACTGGTAAAAGATAGAGACTTGAATTTAGTAAAAGAGTCGAAGTGTACACTTTAATTAGACAGTGAGTAATCAGACAATGGAGTAATCAAGATGGAAAATACGGAAACAGAAAAAGGTATACCAGGCAAACACCAGCAAAAGGGGAGCAAGGATACAAGCAATCTTAGCAATAGGCAAAATGGATTTCAAGGCAAAGATAATCAGTATTACTTGAAAGAGAGAAATATATATTGATAGCCCCGGCCAGTCTGGCTCAGCAGTCAGAGTGTCTGCCGGAGAACCAAAGGGTCAAGAGTTCAATTACCGTCAAGGGCATGTGGCATGGTTGCAGGTTGGATCCCTGGCCCTGGTTGGGTTGGGGTTGTGCAAGAGGCAACCAATCGATTTGTCTCTCATATCGATGTTCTCTCTCTCTCCCCCCTCCTCCTTCCTTTCTACTTTCTCTAAAAATCAATGGAAATAGCCCTGGCCGGTTTGGCTCAGCAGTTAGAGCGTCGGCCTGCGGTCCAGAGAGACCCGGGTTCGGTTCCCGCTAAGGGCATGTATCTCGGTTGCAGTTTGTCCCCGGCCCTGGTTGGTCGTGCGGGTGGCAGCCACTCGATGTGTCCCTTTCACGTTGATGTTTCTCTCTCTCTCTCTTCCTCTCCCTCCCACTCTATCTGTACAAAAATGGAAGAGTGTCCTCGGGTGAGGATAAAAAAAAAAAAAAAAAATCAATGGAAATATATCCTCGGGTGAGGATTAACAACAACAACAAATATATATATATAGTTGTATATATACACACATATATATATGTAGTTGTTTATATATATAGTTGCTTATATATATAGTTGTTTATATATATATGTATATATAAAATATTCAACCTACCAATCAGTTTAGCTTTTATACTCGCATGTGCCTAGTAATATAGGATTGAGATATAAGATATGAAAACTGATAGAATTCCAGGAGGAAACAACCGATCTACAGCTTTGTGGGAAACTTTAATATACCCATTAGGGATCTACAGGTATGTTGATCTAGTAGTCAACAAAATCAAGTAAGGAACCGGGAAGATTTGAATACCATGATTAACAAGCTTTACTGAATTGATTTATATCAAGATAAATTTTTGCCCTTTTCAAAAGGCAACTTTGCAAAAATCATTCTTATTTGAGATAATACTTATTTCTTTTAACCCTTCCCTCTTTCACTTTTCTCCTCCTATTTTTCTTTCCTCCCCTTCCCATGTTTCTATCGGTTCCATCTGTTCCTCCTCCCAGGTCACCTTCCTTGCAGAGTGGCTGTCTCTATATCTTCCTTTATGCTCATAAAATAATATGTAAATATATACATTCCTAAGTAGATTTCTCTCCTGATCTCTTACAAAAATGGAACCAGAGTGTGTACATTTCCCTGCATCTTGCAGAGATGGAAGATGGAAGCCCCCTCAAGTCAGTGCATAGATGTGTAAGACATTCTTTGTTCATGGCATTACAGTAGGTCATGGTATAAATGCACCACAACTTAGTCAACCATTCTACCTACGGGTATAGCACTTGGTTTTTAGGGGTTCATTGCAACCATGACCACTGTTGATATGAACATCCATATCTACATATATTCCAGCGCTTTTATTTCTATGGGCTAGATCCTCAGGCGTGGGATTGCTGGGTCAAAGAATGTATGGAGTTGCTTTATTTTGATATATGTTGCCAGATTGCTCTCCAACAAGGTCATAACTACTGTGATGTAATGAAGACAGTTCCTTCCCAGCCTGTAGCAGGTGTTACCGTGCTCCCTATTTGCTAGTCTGATGTGAAAGAAGTAATATTTCATTGCTATTTAATTTGCATTTCCTTGACTCCTAGGGAAGCTGAACATCTTTTTTTAGGTTTGTTCTCCATTTGGATTTGTTCTTCTTTGAATAGCCTAGTGATAGCTTCTGACTGTTTTGATTCTGATACTAATTTGCAAAAGCTCTTTGTAGTTGTAGATATTAACCCTTTATCTGCCATCTGCGTTGCAGATGGACAGAAAGATCTCATTGAGTGCTAGGTGGGTATAGTGTTGTATGTTTACTGCTAAGATCTTCATGGTTTTATATTTTAGATTTAAGTCTTTGATTCAGCTGGAATTCATTTCTGTGCCAATGACATGAAACACGGTCCTGATTTTATTTCTTCTATCTCTACATTCTCCAATATGGTAGCCTCTAGCCATATGTGACCACTGAGCACTTGAAATGGGACTGCTGTGAATGGAAATGAGCTGTAAACTTAAAACATACACTGGATTTCCAAGGCTTAGTACAAAAAAAGTAAAAGGTCTCGTTAATAACTTTCATATTGATCACCTGTTGAAATCATAATATTTTGAATATACTGGATTAAATAAAACATTACAATTAACTTCACACATTTCTTTTTTTGTTTTGCTAATCCTCACCTGAGGATATTTCTTCATTGATTTTCTAGATAGAGTGGAAGGGAGGGAAGAGAGAGACAGAGACATCGATTGGTTGCCTCCCACACGACCCTGACTGAGGCCAGGGATGGAACCTGCAACCCAGATACTTGCCCTTGACCAGGAATCAAACCCGAGATCCTTCAGTCTGCAGCCGATGCTCTAACTGCTGAATCAAACTGACCAGGGCTCACACGTTTCTTTTCTACTCTTTTTAATGTAGCTGCCAGAAGAAATTTAATTACATGCACAGCTTGCACCACATTCCTATCAAACGGCACTCTTCCAGATAATCAGTTGTGCCAGAACCATTTCTTAAACGTCTTGTTCTCTTTCACTTATCTTTTATCTTCCTCATGAGGGGCGTATCTATTTTACTGCTCGTAGTAGACATCTGTCTAATTCATCAGTTCCATCATCTTTTGAGTAGCTCTTTTGTGTTTGGAGAAATGAATCAGAACTCCAATTCCCAGCCCCCTCACCGTTAACATTGTATATTTGACCTCTGTGGAATGAATGGGAAGGGAGCTACATGGGGAATCGAGTTCTGCGTGGAGTTTCATTTCCGCAGGCTCAGGTGGCACAGGGAATGAGCTTTGATGGTGGTGGTCCCAGCAGTGGTTTCAAGGTCGAGGTCCTGGCACTGGGGGGATGGTGACAGCGATGGCAACTCCTTCATCAGGAAGCACTGGGTATGGTTTGGGACATTGATTAACCTTGTCTGGTGTTTCTGCCCTCATAGCAATATTGCTACTTACTCAATATCAAAATTTCTTTTCTTTAAAAAGACAGCCCTGGCCGGTTTGGCTCAGCGGTTAGAGCGTCGGCCTGCGGTCCAGAGAGACCCGGGTTCGGTTCCCGCTAAGGGCGCGTGCCTCGGTTGCGGTTTGTCCCCAGCCCTGGTTGGTTGTGCGGGTGGCAGCCACTCGATGTGTCCCGTTCATGTCGATGTTTCTCTCTCTCTCTCTCTCTCTCTTCCTCTCCCTTCCACTCTATCTGTACAAAAAATGGAAAAATGTCCTCGGGTGAGGATTAAAATAAATAAATAAATAAATAAATAAAATAAATAAATAAAAAGAGAAGAAGGGAGAATAAGATAGAAACATTGATGAGAGAGAAACATCAGCTGCCTCTTGCACGCCCCCTACTGGGGATCGAGTCCACAACCCAGGCATATACTCTGGGAACTGAATGAGGACTGCTCAGTCCATGGGACCGCACTCAGTGCACTGAGCCGCGTGGGCTGGGCTCAACATCTCTTCAATAAACTTGTTTTTTGATGAATCATCAGAATCAACTTCGATTGCATTGTGGAACCCAATACCGAACTCTGATGGATGCATTGGGATTTTTCTTTCTTCAAAAAAGAGATTTGGGGCCCTGGCCAGTTTGTCTCAGTGGTAGAGTGTCGGCCCGCCGACCACAGAGTCCCGGGTTTGATTCCAGTCAAGGGCACGTACTTCGGTTGCGGTTTGGTCCCCGGCCCTGGTCAGGGTCGTGTGAGAGGCAAACAGTGGATGTCTCTCTCTCCGCCTCCCCCTCCCCCTGCCACTCTATCTGAAGATAAAAATGGAAGAAAGTATCCTCAGGTGAGGATTATATATATATATATATATATATATATATATATATACACTTACCTGGCAGGGGGGATGCCATGCTCACAAAGGTGGTTTTCCCAGGGTGAGGCTTATCCATTGCACTCCGGATGTGCTGACCCCTGCAATGTCCCCAAATGTGGGGAACTCGACTGCATCATCTGTGGTAGCGGGGGACTGCTTGGTGCTCTCCCCTGGAAAAAAGGGGGGGATTTATTTTTTCCTGCTATTTCTAAAATATCATCTCCTATCTTACTGAGCTCTTTCTTCCTACTTTCCCCCCAGCTGATTTTCCTGCTCTTTCTCTATTTCTCAGGAAGAGTGTTGTCTGAGTTCCCCACGAAACAGAGCATGTGGTAAATGCTAGCAGTTCAGAGAAAGTCCGACCTCAGAGACACCAGGCCGAGGGCAGGTGAGCAGGGGAGCAGGAGGGCAACGGTAAGCGGGTGCATTACCAAGAAGACAGGGTTTGTAAAGAGTGTAGCCAGTTGCTCGGGCTCACAGTACCCTTCAGAGAGGTCTACGAAGCACTCTGTCTGGAGCATCCCTCAGGCGAAATGAGCAGATTTCACTGGCCCCCGTGGCCTGCGGTTCAAAGTCTGCCCCACGGGGCTTTACCCTGGGCACACCCAGGTGTTATCACCTGACCTCTCCAGCCCGTGGCTGAGGAGGCCGGAGCTTCCTGGGTAATTCCATCCACGCACAGAGTGGTTTGTCCACGAAGTCAGTGCTACCGCGGGGCTCCTCGATCTGTAGGGCAGGCAGTGGCCTGACCTCATGACCAGGGAACAGCTGCTGCTCCCGCTAGAGCCCTTCCATCCAGGAATGAGGCGTGTGACTAAGGTGTGAGGGTGGTGAGGAGGGATTTGGGGAGGGTGCCGCGGAGATCTGTGGTGGTGCATAAACCAAGTCTAGCACATGCCTTTTCTGTACCACGCAGATCCACCTTCCCCCTCTTGCAATGTCCGTGGACACAGGAGAACAAGATGCCCTCGTTTCCACCCCAAGAGGAGAGATGCTAGTCCGTCTTTCAAGGTGGTAGCCGGCTACAGTTTCTGAAGACATTTGAAGAGGATTAGCAAATCAACACACAGTTTCTGCAGCTGTAGCTCCTCCCAGGACAGTGACTTATACTCATCCTCTTCCTCCTCTGCACGCATTCTGGATTTCCCTCTCCCATGGCCATTACCTCTGCTGACACGTGCTGCCTGCCCACTGGCGTGATCCAGACCTTCCTGGTCAACAGGTCTGAGCCCTGACTTGTCGCTCTTGTCGAACTGTGGTCACCGCAGTGACCCACTTGCATTGAAGCCCTAGGAGGTGCCCCAGTGATCCCCTGGGGTCCAAACAGACACTGGCCTCCAATGTGAGGTGGCTACCTTAGCTTCAGGGCGGGTTATCCCCGCCAGTATAGTCATTTCTTTCTTTGCCTATAACCCGCTGGCATGAAGACCCCAAAATGTCCAGGAGGCAGAGAGAGGCTAATCCTACCTCCTCCACTCCTTTGTCCCTGGGGACGCCACACCATCTATAGGCCATTGGTTCAGTGCATATACCATACTCTGGAGGACAGCACCCCAACTCCAAAAGGTGCTGTCTCCAAGCTGGTGCCTTAACTAAACCTTGGACAGCCCATTCCAGCATTGTGTCGGGCGGATTGCTTTGGGTGGGGTATGTGTGCTTGCTACATAGGGGGTGTGTGTGGAGGGCACCAGCAGCCGTGCATCCCCTGGGGGCTTGTTAGACATGCGGGGCCTCAGGCTCCACCCCACCCTACCGAATCAGGATCTGCATTTGAACAAGAGTTCCTAAGTGATTTGTGTACACGTGGAAGTTCAGGAAGAATTGCTGTATGTGGTCAGACAAACAGATCATGTTCCCTGGAGCCAGGCAATGCCTGAAGACAGAGGAAAGAAGGAGGTGACAGGGGTGGGGATGAAGAGTGGGGTGCAGGGGTGGCTATGAATTTGGAGCAATGCTCAAACTGAATCGGGTACAAGCATCAGGTTCTTTGCATTTATTGACTAAGTTGCTGAAGGCTATACAATTGCCTGAGTGTGGCTTTTTGTGTACCCCGTAAGTTTTTCAGTGAAGAGGTCTCCTTTTCTTTGTCTGCTAGATAATGTGCAATTTCATCTTTGCTCTCTTTGATCTGACAGTTGCCAAACACTGTGTTTCTTACCCTGAGTTTCCAAGTAGTTAGCACATTTTGGCAACCTTTTAAATTATTTACTTTTTTTCCTTATTGATGAGCACAGAAGATAGCTTATGAAATATCCAATTTATTGAATTTTCTAAGAGTTTCCTTATGACCAAGTAGATGACAAGTTTTGGTAAATGCTCAAGTGTGTACAAAATGTATTTTCTGGCCTGGCCAGTGTGGCTCAGTGGTTGAGCGTCGACCCATGCACCAAGAGATCACCAGTTTGATTCTCAGTCAGGGCACATGCCCAGGTTGTGGGCCCGATCCCCAGTGGGGGACATGCAGGAGGCGGCCAATTGATGTTCTCTCTCATCGATGTTTCTATCTCTCTCTCCCTCTCCCTTCCTCTCTCTCTGAAATCAATAAAGAAAAAAAATTTTTTTAAAATGTATATTCTGTATTTGAAGAAATATTTATTTATTTGAGTTTGTGGATTATATTTATTATTATTGTTATTATTATCCTCATCCGATGACATTTTTGCATTTTTCCTCAGATAGAGCAGGAGAGAGAGAGGGAGGAAGAGAGGGAGAGAAACATCAAGTGGTTGCCACTCACATGACCCCAACTGGGGCTGGGGACAAACTGCAACCAAGGTATGTGCCCTTAGTGGGAACCGAACCTGGGACTCTCTGGTCCAGGGCCAACGCTCTAACCGCCGAGCCAAACCGGCCAGGGCAAGTTTGCAGATTATATTTTTTAATTATTTGATGTATCTATTTTTCTCTATCAGAGCTACTGATTTTGTTTTTTTTTGTTTTTTAATTGTTTTTCTTTTATTGATTTGAGAGAGAGAGGAAGTGAGAGGGAGAAAGAGATAGAAACATCAATGAGAGAGAACATCAATTAGCCGCCTTCTGAATGCTCCCCTACTGGGGATCGGGCCCACAACCTGGGCATGTGTCCTGACCGGGAATTGAACCAGCGACCTCTTGGTGCACGGGTCGACGCTCAACCACCGAGCCACACCGACCGGACTCAGAAGTACTGATTTTGAAAGAGACACACTGAAACCTCCAACCAAAGTTGTGTCTTTCTGAGATTCTCTTTTTATTTCTAAAAATTTTTACTTTTTATATTTGCCTGCTATGTTATTTGGGGCAGAATGTTTTATGCTCATTACATGCTTTTCATAAATTGTGTAGTAATAATGTCCTTTATCCACTTTGGAATTTTAACCTTGAAGCCCAGTTTGTCTGGTGTGAATAGCGCTGCTCCTGCTTTTTTTTGTTGGTTCCCAAGTCAAAGCCAGTGTGCGAGTCCCACACACATGGACAGAGCAGGTGTATCAGCGTGACTGAGGTCTGGAGCATTGGCGGGGTGGTGGCTTGCTCTTTAAGCCTTCCTCTCACACGTTTCCTTCAGGAACAATGCCCCCTGGCGTCCTGAGGAGCAGCTCCTAGAACTTAAACTGAGGAAGTGGCACTGAGTGGCAAAGGGGTGGACTGTAGTGGACACTGGATGCCCTGCCCAGATCCCCCTTCGAGAGTAAAGGACTTGCCCTGGCCTGCGTGGCTCAGTTGGTTGGTCATTGTCCTGTGCACCGAGAGGTTGCTGGTCTGATTCCCTGCCAGGGGACATGCCCCGGTTGTGGGCTCAATCCCCAGTAGGGGGCGAGCAGGAGGCAGCTGATTGATGTTTCACTCTCACATTGTTTCTTTCTCTCCCTCTCCCTTTTCCTTTCTCGCTCTTTCAAAAAGTCAATAAAAGATCTTAAAAAAAAAAAAAAAGAGTGAAGGACTTATTCCCATGGCTGCTGGAGGTGCTGCCGGCGAGTGGCCCTCAGTTGTCAACACTCTTCAGGATGGGCCTGGGCTGAAGAGACTTGCCTCACCTAAGGTCAAGCCCTTTCCCAGGGCAGCCCATGTCCGATCACTGGGTGACTGTGGACTGTACAGACCCAGCTCCCCTCATGCCTCCTATGCACAACTCGGAAGTGTCATCATAGCTTCAGAGCTTGAAGAGTGGGCGGATGCCCTTGCCTCTGTGTCCCAGCTCATGCCCTCTCCGCCCATGCCTGCCTTCCCTGCCATGGCTGTCAACCCCCGGGCTCTCCACATGCGCCTCTTTGTTTCAGAGTTTCTTCTGGAACAGTCAACACGATGATTGGAGACTGTGCTTATAGCTAAGAGATGCCTGCGTAAGAGCGAAGTGTCATCATATTGGTAACTTATTTTTAAATGATTCAGAAAAAAAATGTGTGTCATGTACAAAGAGACATAGAGATAAAAGAAATGTGGCCCTGGCCGATTTGGCTCAGCGGTTAGAGCGTCGGCCTGCGGTCCAGAGAGTCCCGGGTTCGGTTCCCGCTAAGGGCACGTACCTCGGTTGCAGTTTGTCCCCGGCCCTGGTCGGTTGTGCGGGTGGCAGCCACTCGATGTGTCCCTTTCACGTTGATGTTTCTCTCTCTCTCTCCCTCCCACTCTATCCGAACAAAAAATGAAAAAATGTCCTTGGGTGAGAAAAAAAAGAAAAGAAAATGTGGCCAAATTATAACAATTGGTGAATCTAGATGGTTCATATAGAAATATTTATTTTAACATTCTTCTGCCTTTTCTTGGGATTTAAAAATGTTACAAAATACAACAGTGAAAATAAAATCCCTGTATTCTATTTTTAATAGGTGTCTCAGTGCAAGCAAAATTAAACCTGAATGTCCAATCTGCTGTCTTTATTTGGAATCTTTGTTTATCTTTCTAAGACAGTTATTTAAATGCCCACATTTCCCTTTGAATTCTCCTTTGGTCTCATCTCATAGATTTTGATATTTTGTGTCCTCATTGCTAGTCATTAGAAATAATTTATAATTCGTATTTTGATTTTCTCTGCAACCTGAGAGAAGCTAGCTAAAAGAGTGGATTTTGGAGATTTGTGTCTATAGGAGTTTTGTTGGAGGTGAGGTTTTTGTTTGTTTGGCTTTTGTGGTTGATGATCTCTGGTTTTGTGGCACTGTGCTCTGTGAAATGGCCTGTGGTATTTTTGCTTTTTGGAATA